GATATTCTTTAGTAAAACCAGAGTAAGGAATTTGACTGCTCACCCAGTTAACATGTCTGGATGCTTACTATTTGGTTGCAAAAAATGTCTTCCAAACAAGAATTTAGGTTGCTCATACTCATTTTTCTCATCCTGTCTTTGACTGTATTTAAACAACAAAACTTATCTGAAAATCTGTTGCACATGGTAACAACCAGCACAAGAACATTTCACCATGGATGGGGGCAAGGCCTGAGTCCCCACCCCTCCCTGAGTGACTGACAGTTACTGGTTGCTTGGGGAGGTGGTATTGCTTTCTTCAGTGTTGTAGTCACTGGTTCTTTGCTGGTGCTCCAGGAAAAAAAAAAAAACCCTCCAACCCATGATTGAGCAACCAGCTCTTAATTCAACTAGGTGGGCCACACACAAAAGGAAGATGTAAATTTGGAGGGAGACCTGATGGAAAGAAGAGGGGTGAAAAAAAAAGACCCCCACCCTTGTATTCTCTTTCAGAAGTTGCACTGACCTCTACCCTAGTGTCCTAAAAGAGCACAAAGTACAGTGCAGAAAAAGGTGACTTTTTAGTATTTATTTTCACAGGCAATTCTCTTAGTGCCTATTCAGTGACTTTTAGAAAATGCAGACATCTGGCAATATCACTATCTGATTCCAAAAAAAAAAAAAAAAAAAAAAAAAAAAACCACAGCCCAGGTCTTTCCTGCCCCATGGCATCAGAGCTTGTACTTCCCCCTTCCATCTAATGGTCTCATCTTTTCCATTCTGTTCACTCTTCACCCACAACTCTAGCTATATCTTTGATGGGGTAACTCAGTTTTGCAAATACATGAAATATGCAAGTTTTTGGTCTGTGCACGTGTGCGTGTGTGTGTGTGTGTGCATGTACATATGTGTGCATTACTAAGGATTGAACCTAGAGCCTCCACATGCTATGTGAGTGTTCCACCACTGCCTTATCCCCAGATCCTGTTTGACTTTTTGAGATAGGGCCTCACTTAGTTGCCCAGGGTGGTTTCAAAATTACTTTGGTTTCAAAATTATTTTGTAGCCCTGACAAGTCTTACATTTGTAATCCTCCTGCCTTAGCTTCCTGATAATCTAGGATTACAGGCCTGAACCATCAGGTCAGGATGTAATCTTTTGAGTCACAAATAATAAACAAGTGAAAAATTCAAAACAAAAAACTGTCCATATTAGATAAGTAACTCATAGGAATGACTTATAAAATGGACAGAATTTGGACTAATGACTTTTAACCTCATAACCAAAATCTACTGCAAACAAACTCACTGAACCATGTGTTCTTGTGACCTGGACACCTAAACTGACTTCTTGGAACCTGAATTTGCTCTTCCACTCAAATATAGTGAATGATTTGTGGGTATGCTTGAGAATTAACAAATCAAAGACAGCACATCTTTACTGCAAACAATGAAGACTGAGAAGAAGTCTTGATATTGTGTGTATGAAATGTTTTAGGACTAGGGATGAAAGGGCAGCATTGCCTGACAAGAGGGGGTTGGATCCAAGCTTGTAGTTCCCCAAAGTTGATGCTGTACAAATGGTTTTACATAAAATTATGGGTGAGGCCTGATTCAGCAGTAGAGCTCTGAGAGACATCTGAAGAATGGGTGCCTTGAGTTCAGGCCCACTTTTACAGCTAAAGTTAGGAGGTGGACTAAACAGCAGGTATAACTGTAACATGGCATGGTAATGCCACAGTAACTAAAATATATGTAGCATATTAACCTTAAACCTGAAGACTAAAAATTATTGATGACATACAAGTACATGGAAGCCCATGAGTTTGCACATTTAACCCCAAACTACAAAATTAGGACACAAAACTTTTCATTTCTTTTCTTTTTTTTCAATGCCAGGGATCAAACCTAGAGACTTGCAGGCACTACACAGTGTACTATTACTGAACCATATCACAGCATCAGATCAAAATTTTGTCATTAGCAGGAAAGGTGGTATCCCCTGTAATCTAAACATTCTAGAGGATGAAGCAGGAAGATTGACATTTTGAGGTCACTCTGGGCTATATAGAAACATCACATATCAAAAAGCAAAAGAAAAATCAAGTCTTCAAAGTATAGAATCTTTATAAAAGATTCTTGTATCTCTTCTTTATAAACATTGTTATTATAAGCAGAAGATAATGGCTAAAACTTGGTCTTCTCTATTTGTTATAGCAAACCCATGAAAACTTATTTTAAAAAACATACACAAAATAGACAGAATATATTTTAATGAATTGTTATGTTGATTTCCATTAGAATACATTCCTAGCATTTTCCCCTCAATCATTTGTTGAAATGGTTATTCTAGTTACATGTATCTTTACCTCTCAGAGGTCAAAAAATTAGGAATAATTATTTAAACACTAATTTACTTTGTGATTTTACCCAAGTATGGTAGGATTAAAACCTGAAACTAAATGCATATTTTTTTGACATTTTATATTTTTACCATGCTATCCTAAAATAAAGGGCATCTGGAATTTTACAATGTAATATTAGAAATCTTTAAGCATTAAAAGTACATTTGAAACAAAACTGAACCTCTATTTGCTATAGTTCATAATAATCAAGGAACATCATTTTAATAGTTATTCAGTCCCAATTTTATCATGTATATAAATGTTCTGCACAGGTTTTGGTTTGGTCTAAGGCTTTGTTTCTACTAAGCTTTTATTAATTACTAGAAATAGCATTCATTAATAAAATGTTATCGGAGAAAGTTATCTTATTTAATTAAATTTTAAGTACTGTATCTAAAATTTTAATTAACATTCAGTAAGCTGTCATTTTTCCTATAATCACTTCTTTCAACTTATTCTGCAAATTTGTGTGTGTGTGTGTGTGTATGTGTGTATGTGTGTGTGTGTACATGTGTGTGTACATGCAAGAGATCAAACACAGTCACTCTCCACTTTTAAAAAAAATTAAGGGGGCTGGAGAGATGGCTCAGCGGTTAAGAACACTGGTTGTTCTTGCAGAAGACCTGGGTTTGAATCCCAGCCCCCACATGGCAGCTAACAACGGTCTGTAACTCAGTCCCAGGGGATCCGACAGCCTCTTCTGACCTCTGCGGGCATTGCACGATATGGGTGCATTTACCTACATGCAGGCAATACATGCACACACATAAAATAAAAACATTAAAATTAAAAAAAATTAATAAAAATGTTTGTTGGTGTGCACACATGTATGTGAGTGCCTGTGGAGGCCAGAGAGGGTGTCAGGGATCTGGAATTACAGGTGTTGTGAGCTGCTGAAATGGGTGCTGGGAATCAAACTCTGGTCCTCTGAATGAGTGGCGAGTGATCTTTACTGCTGAAGTATCTTTCTAGTCCTCCATCTTTAAGATGAGGTCTCTCAATGAACGTGAAGCTCATAGATTCACTACATGGATTGGCTAGAGAACCCCAGGATCCTCCTTCCTCTGCCTCTCCAGAGCTGGGATTCCCGGAGCTGGGATTACAGGTGTGTACGCTGCGCACAGCTTTTCATATGGGTGCAGAGGATCTACACTCAGGTTTTCCTGCTTTCATAGCCAGCTCTTTACTTACTGAGCCATTTACACTACATCTGTTTTTGGTAATATTGGTTTTCCTCTTACAAGGAAAATACAGTCCTGAGTTAGATATGAAAATGTTACAATTATTGCATTCGCCAATTAATTAAACTTATCATTCATTTCTTTTTTTTAGTCTATAAAATGAGGGGATTGAATTACCTCTATTATGTCTAAGTTCTTTTGCAGTTTTAACAGCAGTAAAGAGGCAAAATGTGTCAATCTGTATATTTAAAAGATGATTACCTTTTAAAGCAACTTTAAAACTGTCAGGTAAAATATGTGTCTATGTTGCAAAGCTGTAAATTATAGCAATTTACTTTCTCTAGAATCTTACGGATTTAGTTCTAAGGTATACTAATCAAGGCTTCTGAGAATGAGTTGAAATGTCAAAGCAAGATATCATATTTCAGTATGATAAATACTGATGAAAATTTATATCTAATAAATATATATATATATATCCAAAAGAAATCCATCCCTCCCAAAATTAAAGCATTTTTAATTGAATATGAAACTATAACTTGAAATTTAATCTTACCTTTGAGAATTCCTTTAAAAATATTTAATTTCAGTGAAAAATTAGAGAATCTTGACTTGCCCTAACAACTTTAAGTAATATAAACAGATGTACTAGTTCTAGATTTAAGAAGAGCTGAGGGACAGCGGTTCACTCCTGCTCTTTCTTTAACTCTCTATTCATGAGTGTTCCCAGATGCTACTAGGGTCAGTGGTTAAAATGAAAACACTTAATTTTTTTTAATAAACGATTTAAAAATTTATTTATTTATTATTTTTATTTTATGTGTATAAGTGTATTGCCTGCATGCAAGTAAGTGCACCCGTGCCTTGCAATGTCTGCAGAGGTCAGAAGAAGGCATCAGATCCCCTGGAACTGGAGTTATGGACAGCTGTTAGCTGTCTTGTGGGTGCTGGGAATCAAACCCCAGTCCTCTGAAAGAGCAGTCAGTGCTCTAGCCTGCTGAGCCATCTCTCAAACCTCCTGAAAGCACTTCTTAACAGCAGTCAGATTAAAGAGTAACACTGTAACAGTGCTACTACTGGAACAATAGATCTGAAGGAAAGAGACAACTTAAGGGACCTCTACAGTAAAGAAATGACTAAATACTAATAACACAAACTCAAAGTAATTAAAGCTATTTTGATCCTCTTTGCAAATAGGGAATCTTTAAGTTGTCTTCTCTTGACAGAGGCAGTGGGATTCAGGTTTAGTCACATTTCTGGAGCATACTTCATTACAGCAGGAGGTCTCTTCATAGACATATGGTTTTATGAGATAAAATTGTGAAGCACAACAACAAAAATGTTCCAAGCTGACTCCAAATTTAAGAAAAATTGAGGCACTGTTCTAATTCATAAAACTACAAATTCTTTGATTAATGATGAAAGAGCACTTAAAATATTTTAGAAGCCCAACAAATTTTATGTTAAGAGATTTTTAAAGATCAATAAATATTTCTAATCTTGCTTGCAAAATAAGTGGTAGTTAGAATTACGTGATTCGCAAACAGAGGCAATAGAGGCTAGTTCTTTCATTCAGAGATTGGGGTTCATTCCAACCCAGTGTTTGATTAACTGATGAGCAATAGCTCGGCTTGGTGGCACAAAGAATGCTTGCTGCTTCCCTTTGGTAAGAACATCCACAACCTGAAACATACCATAATGAAATGATTAGGACTTCAATAGTCTCATACATAAATAGTATTTCAATGCTCATATAAAATACAACCAAAATGTGATGAATTATACAGTGAATAAAACTCAAAAGTAGCCTCCATACTTAACACAGATAATTTAATACGACCTTTAAATTTTTTTTTTTTTTTTTTTGTGGAAGCAAGGAACTGTACCACTGAGCTCCAACCCCAGCCCTACTGGTATTCTTTATACACTAAGTTGCCCAGGCTGACCTTCAATTAACACTGTAGCCTAAGCCAGCCTTAAACTTGCTCTGGAACCTAGGTAGGCTTTGAACTTGTGATCAGTCTGCCATGGCCTCCCAAATAGCTGGGATTACAGGCCTGCAACGTGAATTCTGGCTAAAACAGCATTTTTCAATTGTTTCAATGAGATAACGCTCCAATTTTTAAAGATGTTCCTGAGAGGCATATGAAAATAAGGTCATGAATACAAACAAAATATGTGCTCTGCATTTAACTTCAAAGTGAAGCCAACTTTTGGGTATAAGTTCTCTTTTCTAAAATTCTGAAGTAACAACCTAATTTCTTTTGGGAGAATAAAATAAAATTAATGTTATATGGGCAAAGTCATAAAGGATTCGAAGTCTTTAATACTGTATTGTTTCCTTTTCTTCTAAGCTATGCAAAACACAGGTCATTATTTATCATTCCTTTTAAGGGATGTAATTTTTAAATACAAAATATAAAACTATATATTTGCTATAAAGTTATATCATTTTTAAAAATTTTATTTATTTTTTTATTTTATGTGTATGAGTGTATTGCCTGCATGTAGGCCAGTGCACCCATGTTGTGCAATGCCCGCAGAGGGCAGAAGAGGCCATCGGATCCCCTGGAACTGGAGTTAATGGACAGTTGTTAGCTGGCATGTGGGTGCTGGGATTTGAACCTGGGTCTTCTGCAAGAACAACCAGTGTTCCAGCCCCAAGTTATATCATTTTTGTTCTTCAGTATATCTCTTTTTCTTTTTCTTTTAAAGGCAGGGTTTCATGATGTAACCCAGGCTGGCCTGGAACTCACCATGTATCCCAGGCTGCCTTTGAATTTTTGGCAATAAAAACTTCAAAGATTTCAAGCATTTTTCACTAATTTTTTTTTTAGAGCCACATGCTTTAATGTAAATGTGTAAGATTAATATCTCTTATGTTTGAACTAATGCTTAAGTACTTGAAGTTCCTAAAAGATACTATCATTGATCTGCAGGAATAGCATCTGAAATTTAAAATGGCGGAGAATCATCATTGCTAGAAGAACCTCACAGAATAAGCTCAAACAGGACACATTAGTGACCATACACTCTTTCTAAGTGGAATTATCTATTACACTGTAATCCATTCATAATGAGAGGGCTGTAGCCATTCATTCAACTTGCTGGAAATATGCTTCCTCACTGCATGCCCAAACCGATACTATCAGGGAAGAATCAATAGAAGAAGGAAATTAAATTGAACTTTACCTGTTCTCTAGTGAACCAGCGGGCATCCTCTATTTCATTCTTGTCAACTTTAATTTCTGTAGACACTGCCACAGCTAAACAACCAATCATTAAGGAGGAGGGCATTGGCCATGGCTGACAAGAGACATACTGAACATGGCCAACTTTGACTCCACTTTCCTCTTCTACTTCTCTTCGAACAGCATCTTCTATTGTTTCCCCTAATCAAAAGGGGCAAAAGAACAAGCTGCTGATGAACATGCCTGGGACACTTTGAGTTCCAAACAGCTCAAATGTCTGGAAATCACTTTGGAAAGGATGCCAATTCAAAGAATGCTAATTCTAGAGAAGAAGAAAACTTTGGTTTTAGAGTATATGACCACACACAGAGTATCAAGATGCCAACAAGAGGTGTTCAATTCTTTAAAAAAAATTTTTTTTAATTTAATAACCACATGATTAGAGGAAACATTCCTTTATATCTTTAACATATTCAATAACAATTTCCAGGGCAAAGATACATCTCTTTCAAAAGTTGCTGTAAATTTTTAGGTTCACAGTTGAAGTAATACAATTATACAATAGTGAACTGAGTATAAACCCTCTAAGACATAAAATTGAAAGAGGTTTTAACCTTTAAAAAAGATCTCCATTTAATTTTAAAATTTACTGTTTCCTACAGAAAGACTCATTTTTAATGCTACTAACACTTAGATGTTTGCACATGCATCTCTAATCTCTATGTATCTGATTCTTACTAGGCACATTTGTTTACACTCGGATCCTTGGCACCTGAGTATGGATGTAAAGTCATCAGGTAGATTTCAATGGTAATATTTATCACCTCTTAAGAGTCAAAATTTGTTACATTAAAAAGTAGTAATCACAAAATTTACAACTATCTACCACATACTCTTGGGGTAAACATTCTATATAAATCTTATGTATTATCTCACATACATATCATCATGAACTTGTCATGAACCATTATTTCATGATTTCTACAAATGGCTAGTTTCCCCCTGCCTCATTAAAATATTTTTTGTTTTGTTTTACTTTCTGTTTTTGTTTTTGAGGCAGGGTGTCATTTAGCTCAAACTGGCCTTAAACTTGCCATATAGTGAGGGCTAGCCTAGACCTGATTCTATTGATTCCACTTAGCAAATGCTATAATTATAGACATGGTACCACCATACTCACCTCTCATTTAAACCCTGAAACTTTTTAAAAATTATATTATCACTGAAAGCTTAAAAAAATCACGTAAGATGAATTCTTTCTAAGTAATTTTTTTGTGACTGATGATTACAGTATGATAAAATGGTATCTATAAGTGCTCTTAATATTTCTGATTTTTTAGAATTGCAAATGAGAATAAAAAGGTTTTAAGTAAAATTTATTTGGAAGTTTAGAGATATTTTTGTCAATTATAGTAGTACCTGGCAAACATATTTTTAAATAAACCTTTCTACTACAAGTACATTGATGTACATTGATTTTCTACACAACAATTCTTATATTTATTATAAGAAGTGCAGGGAGTGAAAATAGACTAGTGAACAATATTTGAAAAATCATAATAACAAGAGATTAGTATATAATACATAATTATAAATGTCTAAAATCAATTTTTGCAAAGGCTAAAGGCAACTGAAACAAAAAGACAGAGGACATGGGCAGCTACAGCAAAGCAAAGTGCGCTGGGTGATGAGTGCTTGTTTGATGACGCTGCTCCTTCAGTCCAGCAATGGAAACGAAAACCACAGCCACGTACTAGAAGGACAAGTCTGAAAATCCCATCCTGGGCTTAGGGGCACCTGTCTATAATATCAGTACTTGGGACACTGAGGGAAGAGATTGTCACAATCTTGGTTAGTCTTGGCTACTTAGCAAAACACTATTTACCTAACTCAGTAAAAATCTGGACTAATGCAATATTCACGTACTGCTAGTGGGGGTGTAAGTTAGCAGGAAGCCTGAGAGAGGCACTTGGCAATATTTACTAAACTTTAATGTGTTAATAAATACAGTGACAATTCTACTGTTTGTACACACCTTAAATAACTCATGCAAAAGTACATAAGGAAAAGTATAAAAATACTTATATGGTGCTGTTTCCAATAGTCAAAACTCTGAAATAAACTAAACGTCCACAGCTTAAAAATTGAATACATGCCATAATATTCATTTGTGAATTACTACTGAGCAGTTAAAAATGACCCACACTTTTAAAGGCTGCAGAGTGATTAGGAGCAAGGACTCAGGAGCCAAACTGCCTGTATCGAATCCCTTTCCTATTGCTAGTGATTTGGGGCAAGGTATTTAGTCCTTGCACCTTGGTGCCCTCATCTGTGAAAAGTGCTGTAATAGTACCCACTTTATATGGTTGTATAAGGATCACAAGATTTAAAACAGGAACAGCTTCCAGAGGAGAGTCAGGTAGTATATGTTTACTACTATAATTACCTAACACTTTAGGGTGAGAGTAAACATTATTAATCCACATATATTCATTCATTTGCTCCATGAATATTTATTAAGATCCCACTACAGGTGATGCATTTGCTCTGATGGCTTGAGATATAGAATGAATAAAAGAGAGCTACTCTCATGGGACTGACACTCTAATAAAAGCAGGCAATATATGCACACATACAAATATATCGTATAAGGTGGTGCTGATTACTGCAGGAAAAAAATCAGGCAGGATGAGTAGGACTGTGAATATAGGGTATGGAGGATAGACACTGTATTTGAGACAATCACACAGCCCTCAGAGAAGGTGACAGTTAAGCCTAGCACAGAAGGGAGGTGTAAGCCACCTAGATTCCTTGGTTAAAAGCAATGTATAACAAAGCAAATACTGAATTTTTAATAAGCAAATTATCCCACTAGTAAAATTTTGAAAATTATACAACATTTAAATTATATGATTGTAATACTGTTTAAAGTATTTGGGGGTAGGCAAAATGGATCAGCAGCTAAAGGTGCTTGTTGCCAAGCTTGATAACCTGAGTTTGAATCCTGGGATCCACATGGTGGAAGGCGAGAAAAGACTCCATAAAATTGTCCTCTCACTTTCATATGTATACCACAATACATACACACCCTACCTGCTACACACGCGTGCATGCGTGCACGCGCACGCACGCACACACACACACACACAGAGTAACATGCAATAAAAATAGTTTTAAATAATCACATTTTATAACAGGGTAATTATTAGAGAATATGTTTCAAATGCTGTCTATGTGCAATTTGAAAAATTATCCAGAAAAACGCTTACCAGGTTCAATAAATCCAGCAAGACAAGTAAACATGCCTGGGGGGAATCTCTTCTGCCTGCCTAAAAGACATTTGGTTCCATCTGGGTGGATAACCTGCATGATTACTACTGGATCTGTTAAAAAAAAATCAAATATATGAGGCAAAGGAAAAAACTTAGACTCACTGTGTGAAGACACAATATAAAGGTATATATCTCTTTTTTGGGTGTGCTTTTTGAGACAGGGTCTCCCTGCAGCCCCAGCTGGCCAGAACTTGCTATGTAAACCAGGCTGGCCTTGGTCATAGAGATTCACCTGCCTCTGCATCTGAGTGCTTCAATCCAAGTCATACACCACCAGGCCTGGCAGTAAGAGCATATTTCTTATAGGAACAAAACTCTTGTTTGTATGAGACTCCTTTTTTTTCTTACGTAGCTAATAAATATCTCAGGAAAATGCACAGACTACTGCAAGTGAAAGAAGACGATTTGCCATTACTCCTCCCAATCTTGGAACATTTTCTCTATGTTTAGGATATACTAGGCACATTCTTACTTTTTAATGAGAAAAGGGTTGAGTAGATAATATATGGACATTGAAAAAATTAAAATTTTACTATTAATTACAGTACATTTCTCTTTCCATTTCATCCCAATCCTCAATGGAATGCTTTAAAATGTGAATGTGGCTCTTTAATTAGGCTTAACTCATTAAAATAATAAAACTTAAATAACAGCTCACCTCTCTAGAAATCATTAATCCAGAAAATTCTCCTCACTAGATCATGATTGAGAGCAAAGAATTAAAGCTTTAGCAAGGAAACCAGATGTCATTAAGCCACGTTTCTCCCTGGAGCCCTCAGGTGTTGCTGAATTGATCTATTTTTTTTTCTCCCACAGTGTTAAGGGGCTGAATTATCAGATTTCTCAACCTAGCACAGAAACTAAGCAGCAAGTAGAAGAACAAAGGTGCGGGCAGACACTGAGTTGACTGGGGAGCTGACTCTCGGCTACACTGCTGTGGTGATGCTTCGAGCAGGAACTGAGCTACTGAGGGCTTTATTATCCCTGCAAATGAGGAGTCATGTCACTGGTTTTGAAGTCACATATCTCAATATAACAAATTCATATTGATTAAAGTTAAGACATGACTAATTATGTAAAATACAGTCTTTTACTAAATAGTTTTGACAGTATATAATACTGTAGTATTGATAATATTAATGGTTAAAGATTCCATAAAAAATGTAAATATTTTAGTTACTAAAAAATCCACTAAATTTTAATGGAAAAATAATCAATAGTCTTACTGTAAAGCTTACGAACTACAACAATGATTGTTCCAGCAAGATATCCCTAATGGTGTGAGAGTGGCACTTTTATTTTGGAGGTAACCAACAACTAATTGCACTTAAGCCCAATACAACAGGAGGAAATTAATGCCTGGTACTATAAACCTAGTGAAATACCCGTGACTGGAGAGGGCAAAGACCCTAGTAGAGCAGAACCTACTACTGCCATTTCCTTAAACCAATACAATTTTTATATTCTAAAAACTTATCCTTAAATTCACAGATAAGTATAGCCCTCAACCCTCATCAAAAAAGCTTCTTCTTGCAACAGATGAAGATAACAGAATCACAAACAGTCAAAAATGCAGAGAATAAGAGATGGTGGGGTGCCCATACCCAGCTGATACATCTCGAATGCAACTCTTACACCTAAGGTTTAGGAAACATCACAGGATAGGGGGAAGAAAGATGGTAAGAGCCAGAGGACCAGCTGACATCCAGACGTAGATGGGGGAAATGTCCCACCTCTAGATGAAGAACTACAGCCAATCAATGGCTGCTGAGAGAGGGAGAATCAGTTTTCTCCAGGGACAAGCTCCCTGACAGGTTATCCAATCCCAGGTGTTCAGCCCCAAACACATGTATATACAAGCACCATTAAATGAACTCAGTCGGTTGTTTATTCAGACACACACACACACACACACACACACACACACACACACACTAACTAAAGAAGAGGTCATGATATTGGGAGGCAATGAGGGAACTTTGGAGGAAAGGGAAGGGAAAAAGGAGTGAGGGGTGAACATATAAGCAGACACACATGCACGCGTGCACATGCACGTGCACACACACACACTTTTTAAAGCTTAAAAAGATAAAGAGAAGCCTTACCAACTCTTGGATAAGAAGTGTTATGGACACCTTGGAGACTAGGGCAGCCTTCCTTTAAACATACTCTTTTGTAGCCACCTTCTTCAATCTTAGTTGCACTTCCACAGGTTGGGCAGAACTTATATCGACTATGCCATGCAAGAACAGATCTGGCTTGAGCTACAATCCCTTTTAAAAAGAAGCATAAGAAGTTTTACTTCCATGAAAAATTGTAATAAGAATGTGAGTGCAATATTCTCAAGCTAAAATAAGCACATATAGTTTTCTGAATAGCTGCTTGACCAATGGCTTTAGTATTTTAAAATTTATTGCTGTTTATTTTATGTGTGTGAGAATTTTGCCTGCCATGAATCTAAGTATACATGTGCGCAATGCCTGCAGAGGTCAAAAGAGGACATCGAAACCCTTGGAACGGGAGTTACAGATGGCAGTTAGCTGCCATGTGGGTGCTGGGAACCGAACCTAGGTCCTCTGAAAGAGCAGCAAGGGCTGTTCGCTGCTAAGCTTTCTCTCTAGCTCATAGTATTAATATTTATGAGGGCCCCTTTTATCTTTTTCTTCCGTTCTTTTATCTTTTTATATTTAACACTTTATTATAATGCACTTACAAATAAGATCACACAGCTAGACTATGGTAGCCACTCAGACATGTGCCCAGATCAGTGTATTTTTCTTCCAAAACAAAGGATTTCATTTTCTAGATGACAGTTGAAAATTAGATTTAACTTGAATTTGAATAAAAAAGATAGATGTACTAAAATCTATCTTATACACCACTAGATCAGGCTTCTGTTATAGTGACTTAAAATTTGGCTATACATGATCTTAGGGTATAGAGTTTACAAATGCAATTTTATAATAGCTATTAAAAAGTGAAAACAAACATTATAAGTGAGGAGTTTGGTGGTAGAGCACTCTTTTAATATGTGTGAGGCCCTAGATTTGATCCCCTTCTCTGAAAAGGAAGAAGTGAAAAAAAAGCACTACAAAGGGCAAAGGTGTTCTGAAGTTAGGTTCTCTGTAAAGGAGTATTACTAGGAAAGCACAGATGCCAACCTCTATTCTTCTTGGTGTATTAAGCCACTGTTGGTCCATGCCACTGTGCACCATATCCTGTTTTAGTTACATACTGCACATAGTGTAAATCATATGGGACTCGTACTATTTGCAGTTAACTTCTTCAATTACCTAGATTTTAGACACACAGACTTTGGCTTCAGCCCTTACACCAGTACATCAAAAGGGTTGATCTGATCAGAAATACTGTAGTCAGGGCTGCAAGACAAGAGAAATTGTAAAGCCTGATGGCCTTGCTCTTCCTTAAATATATTATTTTTTTGCCTGGGGATTTTCAATATAAACAAAAAAAATTCAAAAACATTTAAAGTAGGATTAAAAATTATAACACTGAAATTCTAAGAACCACAGATACCATTCAATATCTGCCTATTATTTACTACAGAATAAGTAATTTAATGTATACTAGATTCTACATTCTAACAGAATCATATGAAATACACTTACTGAATATCTACTGTGTGTACACCATGTTAAAAGAAACATATAAAATTATTTATTTTATTTGACATTTCCAACAACCCCCATGAGGAAGGACAATATTACTACCCTTATTTTCTGGAAGAGGAATGGAGGCACAGAAAAATAACTGTAAGGTTATACAGTAAGTTAGTTGTTGATCTATTTCCCTATTAGTGAGATAAGAAAACAATGAGCTCATTAATAAGTTCATTTTTATCATAAAATTACTCATACAGCTCTAAATACGACTTCTATTGCTTTTGTTGATTTCTTCTGAAGCGTGGAGAATAAAACACAGCTGTACACCAGATTCTGAGGAGGAGCTAACTAACTGCCTCTGGAAGGGTTCACCTACCATACAACTGAAGGGGAAGAGAGCACTGCTCATGACACCCTCCTAATCCCATTCAATTTGCAGGACATCATAATCTGGCTTCTGTTCTCTCTAATCCACTGATGCTCCTCTTGCTGAATTCATTACAGCTTCTTAATATCTAAACCAAAGATCCTTTTTTTAAAAAAATTATTATCAATGCCTGCGGAGGACAGAAGACAATGTTGGATCCCCCGGAACTGGAGTTACAGACAGTTGTTAGCTGCCATGTGGGTGTGGGGATTCAAATGTGGGTCTTCTGCAAGGACAGTCGATGTTCTTAACTGCTGGGCCATCTCTCCAGCCCCAAAGATCCTTCTAAGACAAATCTTCTTCTTCCAAAGTACTCAACAGCCCTGGCTACTCCCTCCATTGAATATCCTGGTCTCTTGATTTCTGCAAACACCTTCTTTTTTCTTCCTTATGTCCACCGTGTCCACCACCTTTGACCACTTATGGGGGTTAAGGACTAACTCTGTGGCTTTTTCTTGCATGCTCTCAGCTGCTTAAATAATCTTAGAAGTTTCCTGGGATTTAAATATCACCTTGGAGTTGATACTTTCATGATCATCTTCAGCTCAGCTCTTGCCTCCTGAGTTCCAGATTCTAATACCTTTCTCAAAAATTTAACATGCCCCAAAGTAAACTGATTATCACTGTCTGTCCTCTTTTCCTTTCTACCCATTACTCTTTACTGTGAAGACATGATATATCTATCAAATTACTGGCCTCCTGCTGTCATTCTTGATTTTTTCCTAGCAGCTACTTTTGTTTTCCTGTGGGGCTAGAGGGATCGCTCAGTGGTTAAGAGCAGTGACTGCTCTTGAAGAGGACCCAGGTTTGGTTCCCAGCACCCCCATAGCAGCTAACAACAGTCCATAACTCAGTTCCAGGGAATCTGATACCCTCTTCCGGCCTCTGTGGGCATACAACATGAGTGCACTTACATTCATGCAGGCAAAACGCTCATACACATAAAATAAAAATAAATAAATAAAAAATAAAAAATTCTTTGGGGCAAGTAAGAACATTTGCTATTCTTCCAGAGGACCCAGGTTTGATTCCCAGTACCCATATGGCAGCTAACAACCATTGGTAACTCCACTTCCAGGTGATCCAACACCCTTTTCTGGCCTCTCTGGGTACATGCGTGGCGCACTTACATATATGCTGGCAATATACTCATACACATAAAATAAAAATAATAAATAATAAATTAATAAAAGAACTATTCACAGAAGAATCAAATGAAACCATCATACACTAAGGTTCATTCTGGAAACCAACATGGGGGAATGAAAGTGCTTCAAGTGTCCAGTAGAGTGATGCCCCAGGGGAAAACTTAGGAAGTTCTCACTTGCACCGCTCACCAGGAAAGCCTTGCCAGCCAGAGCCTATACATACATACAACTCCAAAATTGTTCTCAAAACCAAAGCATTACTAAGACAGGCATGTATTACTAATTTCTTACCAGCTTCTTTTTCTTTCAATTGCAGAAGAGCTGGCATTGGAGGATGCAGGAAATAACAATTTTCATGTCTTCGCTTAAATTCTTCAGCAGTAACAGGATCTATACCTAGAGCAAACCAGGCAACCAACCCATCTTCTTCTTCTGTTGGGACTCCTCCTGCATAATTATGCAAATCTTTTTTCATTTCAAGTTCTACTCCAAGGAAGATCAAGGTGATCTTCTCAGGCTGAGCCAAGTAATCCTTTATATCTGTGTGGTTCAGCTGACATAGCCTGACTTCTGGCTGTTGGGAACTTTCTTTATTGCCACCTAGAGTGACCAAGGGATTTAAATCTGAGAAAAGGATATAAACCGTGGCTGGGTGGCTCTCTTTAGCTTGCAACCAGTCAGAATTATTTCTTTTTTCACTTTTCCGATCCAATAGTGTTCTGCTAAAATAATTTTCACATTCGTCTACTTCACTGGTTAGGAACCAAGGCTTCTTCCCACCTTTAGCATTAGCTAGTAAGTTAGCTATATGCTTATAACCCCAAAATATAGCAATATCCAGTGCAGTTTGCCTTGACTTATTGATAAGTGATCTGTCACACCTAGAAAGAAGAAAAAATTGGGGAGGAAAAATAAAATGAGAAATAAAAATTTTCATATGTATTCATTTCAGTAAAATATTTCCAGGTATGTATTATAGCCCCACTATTTAGTGATTATGGATTTTTTTTTGTTCTCTTTTGATGCATGGCTTACTCCTGAGAAAATTAAAAGAATTATGTAATACTTTTAAGTAGTGAAAGATATTTAAGCTTCCAGAGAAATACTTATAAAATGAAAAAGCAGTGGTTTTATGTACCATAAAGAAATATCAAAATTCTATACAGTTCTTGATAGTCCTAATGAGATCTACACTTTTTATTTGGGAGAAAAGCATTAAACTCCTCATAAATTTTCTTTGCTCTGAAGTATGAAGGGTTAATTTCTCAATAAAAAAAGTTATATCTAGGATGTTGTTCAGAGGTAGGGCTCTTGCCTGATATTTATGAGACCTGGGTTCAATTCCTAGCACTTGAAAGAAAAAAGTTTCTTTTAATTAGAAATTATGCTACCTTTCAATGAAATAAACTGGTCAACGAAATTTATTATTATACCAATATAAATATGGCTACAAGAAAAAGTGAAAGGAAATAACAGAAATTAAACCACAGACCCTTTTAGGTGGTAAAGCCTAAGATGTTTACCCTTTCTCAAGCAGGTATCGGACAATGTCAGGATGCCCATTCCTTGCAGCATACATTAAAGCAGTCCAACCATTTTCAGAAGTTTCATTGAGAAGAGATGGAGAATGACTGAGTATTCCTGTTAACTTGGCAATATTGCCTTCTGCAGCTGAACTATGAAGCTCAGAAATGATTTCCCATTTTGGATTTCTTTTCAAAGAAGACATTTCTTCCTTTAAAAAAAGAGAAAATAGGGAGAAAACCCTTATTTACAATTGCTTTTTGTGTGAATGAGCACCATTTAAATGCCGATGTTAAAATAACAGGAAGTTTCCAAAACAATCACCTTCCAAAAGGTGATTAGTAGTCAAGGTCTTCACAGTATACACTCTGAAATGGTTGTCAGATGAGAATTATAACTCAATTTACATACCCATGAGAAAATTTATAATGATGAGCTTTGATAAAGTAGATGAGGAACTTCGGAGGAGGGGACAAGTAACACTATAAAAAGGAATGGGCATTTGAGGCAGACAGAGGGGACTTTATTATGGAGCAAAGGCAGGCATGAACAGAAAAGAGAGCAGGCAGAGGTTTTAGCATGTAAGTCATATTCCAATTCTATGGTGTAAGTTGCTAATAGATGCCTTTCCTCAAAAAAATTACGATTCTATAGTTACTCAAAAACTTTCTAAGTTTCACATAAAAACAACTTATTGCTTAACTGTGTATGATTAATTCAGCAATCCATATGGTACTGATTTTTGTTCAAGGTGTGATGTAGGCTAGGTTAAAAAAATATCCCAATGGATAAACCTGATTCAGCACTACTGCAGAAATAAACATCTTTGTCTCAACTGCACTGCAGTATTATCCTTGCTACAAATTAAGTGATCATGAATTTTGTAATCTATTATTGGATACAGGTTTTGTTGTTCTCTCTATTTATCCTTGAATCACAGCTTTAAAAATCATTAACTTTGTCTACCTCATTACTATAATGTTTGGGTGTTCAAAAAATTTGCAATAGTTCTATAACTCTTAATGACTGCTAAGTAGCCATAGCTTACACCTGTTAGGGCACAAACTCAGATTCTTTTATAATGGCTCATGTTTCAACATACATTAAAGCAGTCCAACCATTTTCAATGTTTCGATTATCTAACTTCACAATGTTATTTATTATTTTTAGTAGTAGTGAGGATTAAATGTATGGCCCTACACCTGCAGGAAAAGTCTAACCCTTAATTTTTGATAGCTGTTGTCTCTTGGATTCTGAAGTAACAATCTGGCTAGTCAAATGTGTAGTGTAGTCTGCACAAAATTGAGGGAAACAATGGACCAAATATTAGTGTTCTGATTTGGCATCTTTTCCTGTTCGTGTCTTCTTCTTCTTTACAAATAGGCTAAAACTGCTCACAATAATGCAAGCAATCTGTTTAAAATCTGTTTACAAATAAAAGTAGGAGTGACCTCCACATTTGACACTTTTGATTTATCTTAGCTTTGTTTTCCCATTTTTTACTTTGGTTTTTAAGGCATTTAAAATATTGTTAACAGAAGCTGTAGTGTTTCAGGGCTTTATTTTGAAGCACTGCTAATTGTCTTCCAAACTGCCTTTCTCTTAAATTACTTCCCATAAGCTCCTGTTATACAATTTAGTCACTGAAGTTTAACCTTTGACTATTTCACCCGTCCCACGTTCAGGGGCACTGTTTCAGAGGTCACAGTTACTCCCTCACTGTCCTCACAGATCAACCATGGTGACTGCAACACTGTCACCCAAAAGCATAGTGCCATTTATGACCACCAATGCAATCCTACAGCATTCTCTGGGGAAAGTAGTGAGAAAACAGATTCCTTTCCCTAAGCGTTCTCAACAGGAAGCCTTCTAGAAATAGTTCCTTTCCTCCTTCCAGAGAAGCACCGAGAACCTGACATCAGCTGTGCTACCTGCTCTCCCTTTTATTCCGGACAGGTCCTGTGGAAGGTAGGATTGGAAGGCAGGATAGTCACCCTTGCTTTCCAAGAGCATGGGCTATCCTGAGAGGCCAAACCTAAGAATTTAGGTTTAAAGGAATTAGATTTTAACCAAACCAACATTCATTTTCACTGATAAGTAACACAGGGCCTTAGACCTGTCCAACATGGCTTTACAACAGGGACTCATAATGGCCCTGTCACTTAGGCCACGAACCATCATTTCATGAATTCCATTAACTGAGTGCTCAGGAAAGCCAATTTTTAAACAATTACGCATAACGCAAGCAACCGCGGACTCTCCAAATGGCCAGATGCCTGTGGCAATTTACTTTCTACTACTAAGAGATGCCTTCTTTTAAGGTGACGTCACCGCCAAAGCACAGTCTCTTATGCCCCATCCTTAAACTCGTGCTGGCGAGTCCCGGGCGCCAGGTCACCGGCTCTGCACAGCCAGGGTCTCCAGCCTAGCTTCCGCGCCTGCGCCTCAGCGCAGACCCAGCGCCAGGCCGCGCCACACAACGCAAGCGATGCCCACAGAACGGTCGCGCCTCTGAGGGTCTCCAGGGCCGACTAACTCGCCGCTACGGTGGCTACTAACCCAAGGTGACCAGAGTAACGGGAACCAGGACACAGGACAAGCTGGGCAAATTCAACTCTCACTTTTTCCAGGGCTGGAAGGAGCCTTCCCGACTTCCGGCGCAGGTCCAGTGTCCTCGCACAGCTTTATGGGAGATGTAGTTTGAAGGTCACGGACTGTGCACTAAGGGAGGAGGGAGGGGTGGGTGTTTGAATGGCTATCTTTGCTTGAGATGGAGGTGTGCCGAACCGAGTGCGGGAGATAGAAAGCTAGATCCGTGGAAATGAGTTTTTTTTTTTTTTTAATTTAATTTTATTTTTATTTCTAAGTTTTCCAGTAATTCTCATTCAATTCCCCACTTTTCCCACAGCCAATACGGTTCAATGCAATTGAGTTTTCTATAGTGGAAGACTGGTTGCACGCATCACTCTTGTACACTTTAAAAGCCTCAGTTCACATCATGTGGGAAATGCAGCCCTGGACTGATTCAGCCTACCTTATTAAGCAGTCTTTTTTAAAAGTATGTTTGGAGCTCCCCATAACACCTTCGTGGTTGGTAGGTTTATAGAGGATAATGAATGCAAAATTACGGACAAGTGCCAAGTACAGACAGTTGACATCTACAGTACAATTATTGTGGTTTTTATTTCATTTCCTTTGATTTTACACTTCAAAGTATACAAAACTCATGCAGATCCTAGATTTAAAAGCTGTGTTAGTGGTCCTAACTCCTAAACCTGGGATTTTTCCTTGTCAATCAGCAACAACTACAGGAATCTTTTAGGACTGATCATTGCTTCTGTGCTTTCCAGGCTCTTTCTCACACTAAAGCTGTGTATCCTAGTTGACACTAAAGCTGTGTAACCTAGTTGACACTGCATGTGTGATGTGAATGGGGATTGAACCCAAGGCCCTGCATGCATGGCAAGCAGTCTACTGCTGAGCTACAACCTACCTACAGTCCAATTGTACTTTCACAACTGCTTTACAAACTTAATCCTATGCCTTTTTCTGTGAGTAGTTGTTTTCAGTCTTTAACAATTTCAGAGGTAAGAAATACTATTTCGATTACCTAACTTGTGTTCTCAACCTTTGTATTCAAACATGAAGTAGGTAAGTCAGTATAATGAACTCTCATGTATTGATATAGTGTCAGCAATTATTCATATACAGTTCTCCTAAACCTTATGATTCTTTTGAAATAAATTACAAATACCATATTATTTCACTGATAAATATTTAAGGATAAACCTTTGGGAATCATGAATATATGTTATATATTACTTTATGGTAATCTTTTTCTCATTAACTGTGTAGTTTGTATGAAAGGTAACAGATATGTAATCTTCATTTACTTTTTTTCTGAATAATTAGTTTATTAATATTCATATTCTAAACTTTGTGAATCCTGTTTTTTTGTGCTTTTTATACATTTTAGTTCATTAGACATTGTAAATTAAAAAAATATTTTTATGCTTAGTGTTTACTTGACAATTAGAAACCCTCTCAAGTTGGCCTCTGAGATCTGTTGATCTGTTGACTTAAGTGTCTATAGCTTATTTCAATTTTGGTATGGCAAAATGTTTCAGTTATCTAGTGGACATTTCACATTCTTCTAGGGAACTTTGGTTCCCTTTAGTGAGAAACGATGTTTAGATACAACAGTATTTACACTTCGGTGCTAACTGCTAGTGGATTACTAAATACCCCTCTGAGTGTAACATTGCTCTTTGGAAATTGAACAGATACTGATAATTTCCAACAGAGGATTATTTTCCAGTGTCAACAATGGTGCTAGCATAGATGGTAATGGAATGAAGCAGTATTCATTTTTATTACGTCTTTGTTTAAAAATATTTTAAAAGGTAAATTTTAAGCTTTAGATACTCCCCTTAAATGTCTTAACTATATTTTTCAAAATTTTCTTGTATGAAGTGTCTGATCTGACCAGACTCCTTTAGGCACTCCTCTGGGATACCGCTTATGCTTCCTGCCTTACTGTGGTAAAGCCACATTTCCTAACTTCATTGCTTTCCTTTTCCAAAATTGTACCTATGTTTCCCACTTCTCAAAGTGTTTTCTTTTGGATCATCATTTTGCATCACTTCTTTCCATAGGATTAGCAGTTTCCCAACAGTCTTTCCTGCTTTAGTATAAGCTGAACTAGTTTAAAACATAATCTGCATTTTTTGTTTTATTTTGTTTTGTTTTTCGCCCTTTGCTGGTTTTCTTATCAGATCACACTATGCCCCTCCTGCTCAAAGATCAGCCATGCCAAGCCAGATAATCATTACTGCTTGGGCATAGCCCTCAAGTAATGACTGATATGGCATGAATTGGTACATAAAACCCCCAGCCTTTCTCATCCTTTCAGAGACACATGCCCTACACTGGCTCCCAGATTTCCTCATTGTGCTGAGATTCTTCTTATCCACATTGCACACCTAATCATAACAAACCCTGGTGGCTCTCTTCCTTTCCCTGTGTCTCCAACATTTCTTCACTTCCTTGTTCCTCTAGCATTGCTTCCTCTTAGATAACCTATTGCATATGAATCTTGATCTTAGGAATTGCTTCTGAGGACAATCTAAACTAAGTCAAGGGTTTTCTCTTCCTTTCAATACATAACCTCTATTACATAGTAGTTAGCTTCCTCTTCTTAGCTTGGGAGAATCATTATCCATCATTAAATAAATAAATCTCTATTATCAGTTACTTCGGAAAGCATTATATTATGTTGCCTTTATAAGAACAGTGTAATTGCAAATCAATGCGTGGAATTTGGTTTGATTGCCCTTGAGATGAATAATTTGATGTTCAAACTTTAAATCACTGTTTTTGTCTCTGCCCAGAGAATCATTTCACAAATGGTTTGTCAAGTCTTCTAAGACGACGTGATCGTCTTATATCATATTCTCAGATGATCTGTAACACTGCTTGCTACTTTTTGGGGTAGGATATAAATGAATGATATGTGTGTCATAAAGATTATTTCTTAATACAGTAATATGCCAACTGTATTCTTTAAACTTAGTGAAAATTAATCTATCATTTTTTTTCTCAATCAGATGGAAACCTGATGTTATGAACAATATATAAAGTTTATGAAGATGTTCCTTTTGGTTACACATTTTTTTTAGTATTAACACTTAATAAAGTTTGGATTTCTCTAAATGCTTTAAATTTCTTTCATTACATGGAATATGTTTTTGTTTAATATTCTATAGTAATTGTTGATTTTCCTTCACACAAAGCAATAAGAATTGTGGATTATAATGGTGAGATATGCTAAGAACTGTCCCTTGATAGTATACAGTTTAGAAGTGAGCTAACTGAGAGTGACCCTCCATGTGGTCCTTAATACAAGCTAGCATCACATGTAACTACAAATAGAGGTTTCTAATTTTCATAGAACATATCAACATTCATGTAACTACAAATAGAGGTTTCTAATTTTCATAGAACATATCAACATTTCTATCAATAGGAGTGCTGTTGTAAACTGAACAATACATATATTGCATCTTGGATACACAATTTCAGCTTGAACTTAGAACTTTGGATTTAGCTATTTCTTTCTTTTGACATATTTTTTTTAGATCTTCTAATTTCAAGATTCTTGTCATTCATTTATCAGTTCAGATGTTCTTTAGAAATCTTCTAAATTTTGAACCCAGCTTATACTAGTTCGCTGTGGTGGGTGGTATTGTCAACTGGACAGTATGTGGAGTCACTTGGGAGATAGGCTGTTGCCCATGCCTGTGGGAGAATATCTTGACTGTTAATCAAGGTGGGAAGACCCAATCACTGTGGCTGGAGCTATTCCCTTGCTGGGATCCTGGACAGTATAAATGAAGAAAGGGAGCTGAGCAGCAGACGTGCCATTATCATTGTCTGCTTTCTGACTTGGGATGGGATGTCACCAGCTGCTTCACATTCCTGTGGCCTTGACTTCTCTGCCATGACAGACTGTACCTTCACACTGTGAGTCCAAGTGAACTCTTTCTCCCTTTGGTTGTTTTGGTCAGTGTGTTTTATCACAGCAAAGAGAAAGAAACTAAGACACTCTCCTATTGATAGTATCTTATTTTGGACTTTCTCATCTTTTGTTTCTTATTTTTGATGTTGATACAGTGTTTTTCCTGATTAGAATGTGCTTATTATGTGAGAAGGTCCTTATTCTTTTCATTTACTGTTTCTTTGGGATCTGAAACATTCCTGTGGCATAGAAGAGACATTCACTGAACATTTGTTGTTGTTGAACTAGTGATCATCTTCATATTGAACATTGCTACCATACTTTCTCAAATAATATTTACCAGGAATTCATCTGATTTTCTGTGGTTATGTTTACTTCATGTATGTGGTACTTAGGTAGTGAAATAATGTATGGTTGTTTCCCTCAAGGAGTTGTCTAATGAAGTAATTTAAGTGGTGTATGTTTATTTGTGCTATGATAAGGTGGAGAACCCATTGTACCAGACAGAGATGTACAAGGCAGGCTCAGAAAAGGAATAGGAGACTTATTGCTTACCTATCTCCATCCCTCTCTTCCTGGTGAGATTCTTCTGAGAAGAGAAAATGGCCCAAGTTCTTTTCATCTAAGCAGGGACTTTTGATTTGATTATTTCTAGTCCGTACACTGTAGCAGAAGTGGTGACTTTGTGAATGAACCCGTTAAAAGACAAAATCTAACCCTGCAGATATTTACCATCCTGTTACTGCAATCTGGAAGCATATACCAAGAGAAATCCACAAGGAGACAGCACTGCATTCACCATTGGGAAACAGCTGTTATGGAGTCCTCCTAGATCTTCAAGGAACTTTATGTGAGCCAGAACTGAACCTTTGAGGTAAAAGGCACAAAGTCAGGTATGTTATTACCTCACCAAAGCATAGTTTATTTTGAGCAGAAAACAACAAGGTAATGAATGACCTCAAGATGACCTGGAACTCACTCTATAAACCAGACTGGCCTTGATCTCACAGAGATCCACCTGCCTCTGCCTCCCAAAGGCTGAGATTAAAGGTGTATACCTCCAGGACTGGCTTGAGTTGAGTTTTGAAGGGCTAGTAATGGTGTGATATTGTAGGACAAAAAGGTTTTCCTCAACTCAATAGAACCTGGCCACTTGAAAAACCAGAGAAAAGCTTGGAGATAAGAGTAAATTAATAATCCACATGCTAAGGAGGTAGTAGCACAGTGTACTAAGTGTCAGATATATCAGAAAAATGTATCATAAAAACCTGATGTTCAAGAGTCCTGGTTGGGCGAATGCTGACATGACTCTGTCAGCAGTCCCAGACTGTGTGAGTTAGGGCTTCTAGTGTACGCTCTACCTTTGCAAACACCTTCCTACTTACTGAAAACAACAGCCTGTAATAATACTTAGCAGAGATGACCAAAATAAAACATCCTACCCTTTGTGATGTGTACATGTGGAAATGCTCTTAATCTTTAAATGCACTCATTTATGGCTTTTATGGGTACCAAGCTACTGTTGTTCACTTTAATGGTAATTTCATCTGTCTTACGATTTTCAAAAAACAATTTTCAGTTTTTTACTCCCAAAAGTACATGGCAATGAATCTATTTTTCACACAAACATCAATTTAGCTTTGCATTTAGTTCCCAAACAGCAGTTTATTCTTATTTGCAAATCATCTCTCCACTTCCGCTGTATGAGTTGTATTTTATGAAGCAACAACCATGATGTGAAGAGGAATTTGTGTGATCAGAGGTGGAATTAACACTGCTTGAAAGAGCAACGTTCTTTTGCTGTACTTGAGTTAATTGATGCAGTAATTTAATCACGGAGATGCTGTTCACATTTCATGGGTAAGTCACTTAAACTTGATTTCTTTCTTTTATAGAATGTCTAGGTTGATGAGCATGTAAACGGATTGGTAGCATTTTCAAATGTCCTAAAAAATGACTGCAGTATGACATCTGTCAGATTCTATATTTGGTTTTAGTTTAGTTATTTCTGAAGCTTTTGGATTAAAAAAAATCTAAATTTCATATTCTGCAACAGGTTTTTCCATCACCATGCCAAAACCCAGAGGTGTGCAACATTTCTTTTTTTGAATTTTAGTATTCTTTATTTTTTCCTTAGGATATTTTTGACCCTAGGTACTTTTTCCTTTAAATTTGACGGAGCTGTGATCATGGCTCTGACCTCTAGCCTTGAAAGAAGAGGAGTTATGCCTCTCAGGAGTAATGCCTCAGGCATTTTGCAAGTTGGCTGGCAGGGATTATTTCCCTGACTGTGAAGTGATGACCTTCTGCAGAGAGTGAATGTCTGCAGTGCACGTAAATTTCTTCAGCCATGATTGAGAGCCTTAGGTTTGTTACCTGCTCTATGAATCAGAGTCTGCTCTTTCTCTACAGAGGATGGGTAATTTACTGCTGTATTTAAAGACACGCGTTATGTGCTCACTTGTAGGTTAATTTACTGTTGGAGGTGAATATATACTGTTTTTGTGCCTGATATAAGGTTAGTTTAGATGTAAATCTGGAATTTTAAAATCAAAACCTGGACTGATGTGGCCGTGACCAGACGGCACCTTACCTGTTACTTCTAAACAGTGTCCCAGCCCTGTTCTCTCAGCTGTCCTCAACTTCTCTGATTTTAGTATCCTAGGGAGGATTTCTGTTGCTGCCTCAGCTGTCATTACAACAATAATGTTGCTGATTGCTATGATATTTTCAGAATACATTAAAAAGAGGAATAACATTTAGAGTGATTAGTAAACACTTTTTGAATCTGTAAGAGAGGATTTTGTTTTTATTCTCTGAACAGAACTGTCAATCTTAACTCAATAAATTTCTAGAGCTTTAAAAAATTATAATATTCTATCTCTTTTTCTAAGGAATGTAGTCATTCCAAAAGCTCTCTCTCTCTCTTTCTCTCTCTCTCTCTTCTTCCCTCCCTCCCTGAATGTGTGTGTGTTTATGATAAAAAACTATGACTCATTCATTCATTCAAAAGTGTTAACGATTTCTTTAAAAAGTTGGTGAATAGAACCTGCTGGAAGGTACAAATTAATCAAATTCTGTTACCAAATCTTTTCCTTCTTCAGAATTTAAACTTCCTGGATCAGTTATATAAAACACTTCTAATTCATTAAATACAACTCCTTAAACTCCAGTGGATAGAACACATTTTAATGCTTTGTCTCAACATTTTCTTTTCCTTAGGTTCTTGTTGCTTAGTAAAGGAATTTGATATATTTGGATACAGATGTAGTTACAAATCCCTGGCCTAGGGAATCTGGTAAAGCACAGAAGGAAAGAGAAACAGTACTACCACTGCTTTTTCTCCAGGGGGATGCTTGGAATAATGGGATGCTGGTCCTCACATTATATTAGCCAGTAGCTTTCCCTCTCACCTTCACATACCCTCTCCCTCCCATCCCTCTTCCATAATCAAGTTTTAATTTCACTTACAAAAGAAAAAAAGAAGAAGAAACCTAGAGTGATGTGGTCAGGATAGTGATTACATTTCTTTTTAAAATTGGTGTCATGAAATCACACTAAATTTTATCATTGCATTTTAATGATCTCAAATATGATAGTACATTATAGTTTGACTAGTAAGCCTAATTTTTAAAGAATGTAGAATTGTGTAGGATCAGAATGTAATGAATAAGTCAACCTGATTTATACTTTATAATCTTTTTTTCCCTTTTAAGCAGTGTCTGCCTTGCCCTTGACATTTCTACTGGGCCACAACCATCATTTAAGGTCTTTCTTCCAGGATTGCTATACCAGCTTTGCAACTGCTTTACCTATTTCAAATTATGTTTACATTTACCTTACAGGATATAGCCAGAGTGGACTTTTTAAAATCTGCTTGTTCTCCAGTTTTCTAAAATTCTTTCAGAAATTATGATGCCCTTAGTTAAAAATTTTATGTATTTATTTACTTATACATCATGCACCTATAAAAGCTTAAAATACTAAAATAGTAGATACATTATATACCACGTATAGAATTTGAAAAGGAATGTCAAAAATTATGTTAGCAGTAAGTTTTAAATATTCCTCTTGCACCCATGTATTTGTTTTGTGAACTCTTGATTACATGCACCAAACTTTGGCTAACTTCATCAGTTCTCTGTGCTGGTGCTGGATAGCTTTAGTTGTCAACTTGGCACTCCTGGGTAGAGGGAGACTCAATTAATTGGGGAATTTACCCTATTGGATTGTCCTGCGGCCATGTCTGTTGGGTATTAGCTTAGTTTTTGAGTGAGATGGGAGGACCCAGCCCACTGTGGTCAGTGCCGCCCCTGGGCAGGTTGTTCTATATTGTGTAAGAAAGCAGGCTGAGCCCTGGTCAGGGGAGCAAGCCAGTAAGCCGTGTTCCTCCATAGCCTGTGCTCCAGCTCCTGCCTCCATGCTCCTTCCCTGCGTTCCTGCCTTGGGCTCCTCGTGATGACTTGTGACACAGATGTAAGCCCCTCCAGCTCCTGCCTCCATGCTCCTTCCCTGCGTTCCTGCCTTGGGCTCCTCCAGTGATGACTTGTGACACAGATGTAAGCCCAATAAACCCTTTCCTCCCCAAGATGGTATTGATCAGAGTGTTTTGTCACAGCAATTGAAGGCAAACTAGAAGAGTGCTGTACCTCAGAGCCACAATTAAGTAATGACAAGCTGTGGCATGTCAATTTTTTTTTGTTTCACCTCCTAGCTCTCTCTTACCAAATACAGCCTCTTCTTGTGTATTTCTCACCTAACATTCAAGACTAAGTTACATGTTAGCATCTTAGGGTAACTGAATTATGTTTCATTGTCAACTTCCAAAGCATCCTAAATCAACACTTCCTTATAGCATATATCTTTTACCAACAAGATTATGAAGTCCTTTAAGAAATGACTATCCTTTTCATCTTTACATCTCAAAGTATACTTAGTGATTGTTATATCCTTCATGAGTGTTTCAGGTAGGAAGGAGGGAAAGAAAGAAAGGGTGGAAAGAATAAAAGAGATGAAGGGAAGGACAAATTAATACTGTGTTAAGGATGAGGTAGACAGGGGCAATTAAGATGGCTCAGCAGGTAAAGGGCCAAGCCTGATGATCTGAGTTGGATTCCCTGACCCATGCGACAGAAGGAGAGAAATGATTCCTTCAAGTTGTCTTCTGACCTCCACATGTGGACCTGACACTCATGCCCCACTGTCCAAAATATAATGAAACGTCATTAAGAAAAAAGATAAGAGCAACAATAACAGGTAGAAGGAGGATTTTAACTTAATTCTCCATGGTTCTCTGATAATCAATGGTAAATATTTCAAGGAAGGAAAATTTGCATCATTACAGGTAAGAAATTTTAACTCATTATGTATCAGTGTTCATTGCTATATACATGTTATCTTCTTCAGATTTTAAATACTCATGTAAACTTTTCTTATTGAAAATTTCATTTTTTTCCTTTAAAAATTAACACTCTGGGGGCTGGAGAGATGGCTCAGCAGTTCAGAGCACTGGCTACCTTTGCAGAGGACCTGGCTTCAGTTCCCAGCACCCACATAGCAGCTAACAACTGTCTGTAACTCCAGTTCCAGGTGATCCAAGCCCTCTTCTGACCTCTGCAGGCATTACACAGCATGGGTGCACTTACATACATGTAGGCAATACACTCATACACATAAAATAGGAAATAAATAAATAAATAAATAAATAACGTTTTGTATTTGCTCAAACTCCTGTCACTAACCATTTGTCCTCTTGTGAATTTGGGCTGCTCTTGACCTTAGTTACAGGAACTTATTTTTGCAGTGGACAGTAGTCTGTGGAAAGAAGCATAGTTGGTCAAAGTGTTGAGAATAAGAGACTGAGAGCTCAGCCCTAAGTGGAACATCTGTGCGAAACCCTTGTCTATCACCAAGGCTCAGGGAGCATTTTGGAAGAGGAGAAAGAAAGAAAGTGAGAGCCAGAGCATGGGAAGGAGTCTGGACATGACATGGCTGTGGCAGGCATGAACTCACACCAGCTGTGGTTACCCACACATGATCTAACGAGATCAAGTCAGCCCACATTGAAACATAGATGACCTCCAGCCCCACCACTTACTGAGGAGCTATTGGCAGTGGACAGTTGCTGGGGGAGGGAGAATTATTCTTTTTTGTGCCACTGGTAGGTTTCTATTATCCAGTAGATGGTCCCAAATCTATGCAATGTATGAGCAGCAGTAACTGGACTTAGTGGGTTATCAAAGAGAGAAAAATATGCATGAAATTGGTAGGGGGTGTGTTTGGGACAGTATGAGGGGAGTTGGAGAAGGGAAAGGGGCATATATCATCATATTCCATTGTAGACATGTAGAAATTCTCAAAATTAAGAAAAATTAAAAATATTTCATATAAGCCATAAGAGTAACAGAAGTACACACACTATTGAAGTCTGTAAAGTTCTCACTGAAATTAGTGTGAGGATAGAGGGAACCATAGGAAGCAGGTTATGGGTAAGGATAATGTATTTTGATGATATTCAAATTCATTCAGCAAAGTCCAAATAAGTCAAAGCAGATTTGCTGGTTCATCAGTTGTGCTTCTTCTGCATTTTTATTAGTAAACTGTAACACATTTTACAAAGACTCAATCTTTTCCCACAGGTCACAGCTCTAGGTTAAGCCTAAAAAGCAACTTTCATTATAGATTGCTTATTGAAAGTGGAGTAAAGCAATTACAATATCTCTCTGAAGAGGTGTATTGGCTAGACATTCTACTTTGGAATAGTGCATTATACTGGATTAGTTATTTAATACTTTAGCTACTATTGAAACCTGGGAATGTCTATAGATACCCCCTTGGGCTTATTGACAGTGTTAGGAAAGCAATGGAGACATACTCAAAAAAAATATTCACCAGCCTTCTTAAAAATTAAAATTTCTAGTTATTGTTTTGATTTTTATACTTTATAGTATTAAGGAAGCTTGTTTAGTGAATTTACAAAAGCTGATATTTATTGATTTAATTCATAACAGCAAGCATTCAGTAACATAAATATAATAGATTTTCCATTCTTTAGATATATTGGTTTTAGGAAAATTTATATATGACATTTTAGAGGCTTTTATTTTGCATTTAGCATATATGAATCTTCTCATTTTGCAAACTAGAATTAAAAACTGTAAGATCTATCTCCTCATAAGAGAATCATCATGAAATTCTGACTCATTTAGGACAAATTGAGAGTCAAATATTCTCCTTACAAGTGATTGACTCTCTTCTGCAAGCAGTAGATTTTTGTTACCTTTTTCTGAGATTTTCTTTTTTATTTATTTCAGTTCTGTACTTTAAGTTAAGGGAATACATCAGATTTTAGTTATTTAGATTAAACAATAGCTTGTGATTATTTTTGAAGGTTTCAAATATTTAAACTTGGAAAAATCTATCTGTGCCAGCTAATAGATCATTTCTCAAATCATGAATTGAAATACCTCTATTTTAATAACATACATTCTTTATGAAAACAATAGCTTACAAGATATTGCCAATGATGTTCAAATTTCAATGTAAGATGGTTTCCTGAAGCTAAGAGGAGATTGAGCAGCTAAGAGGACTGGCTGCTCTTGCCAGTTCCCAGCACCCACATGGAGGCAAACAACTATTCATAACCCCAGTTCCAGGGGATCTGACACTCTCTTCTGGCCTCCGGGGGCACTGCAGGACATGGTGCACTTACATATATACAAGCAAAGCAATCGTTCACATAAATAAAATAAAATTAAGATATGTTTCTTTAGTATGTTCACACATTAGTTATACATTTACAATGAAAATACCATGACCCCTTTTACATTGTCATTGTTATATACATTTTTGTTATTAATTGGTGGTACTAGGTATTGAACCCAGAGCTTTGTGAATGCTAAGCCCACTCTGATCTATGCCCAGGCCTCCTGTGTTCATTCTTAAAAGGTATGATAGGCACATGCTATAAATACATTCCAGCTGCATTCCTGTGTCATGCTGTGCTATAAGAATGCTCTTCTAGATGCTGTAGCAACTGCATACTGTGTTATAGCTACTGCACATTCATTTATTCCTGATTTTAACTTTTCCAAATATGTTTTTATTACTATGAACAAAATCTTTCTTATAGGCTCAAATTTTACAGACATATCATTGAAATGAAAACTAATTCTTCAAAAACAACAATAGAAATAAATTATAACAATTGCCTTTGTTTTCTGTTTCCATGATAAAAGCAACATAAGGGAGATAAGGTTGATTTGGCTCAGTTCTGGGTTACATCACTGTGAGGAAGTCAACGTGGCAGGAATTGGAAGCAGCTAGTCGTGTTACATTCACAGTCAAGAACAGAGACTAATGAATTAATGCATGCATACTAGTACACCGCTTGCTCTCTCCTTTTCATTCAGTCTACAGTCCAGCCCATGAAATGATGGCACCCACATTCAGGGTGGGCCTTCCTATATAATCTAATTAAGAAAATCTCACAGGCATGCCCATAGGCCAATCTAATCTAGACAGTTCCTCAGTGAGACTCCATTCCCAGGGGATTATACTTTGTTTCCAGAAAACAATCAAAATTAAAAATCACAACAATGAAAGTAATGCATTAGAAGAACATTCATATTGATTGAAGAGTTCACATTAATTTATTTTCTCCAACAGTTTTCAATTTCATTTTATATTTGTATGACAATATTTGGATGATTTGGAATGTTTGGTTGGTTGGTTGATTTTTTTTTTTTTGAGACAAGGTCTTCCTGTAGCCACAGCTGGCCTGGAACTCACTGTGTAGACCAGACTGGCTTTGATCTCACAGAGGTCTGCATGCCTCTGCCTCCTGAGTCCTGTGACTAAAGTTGTGTGCCACCATACTTGGCTTGATACAGAATTTTAATACTGCATTCCAGATTCAAAAATATTGTTTTTCTATTTATAATGTATGACTTTGAGCCAATTATGTAATCTGTGCTTCAATTTTTGTATCTGAATACTGGGATAATTAACATTATTTTCTTTATACAATTGTTGTATGCTTTATGCTTTCACAATTTTGTTGACAGATAAAATACAGATAACTGATTGAAAAAAATGTATAAATATATGTGAGAAGCCTATCTGATCACTGATCTTTAAGCACTTGGCTTATTTCTTAATCTCTTTATATGGAAATTAATACAAATTCTTGAAATGGAGAGTGATTTCCCAGTGGTCACTTAGAATAATAAGTGCATTACAGAAGCAAGTTCTTTCACTAATGCAGTGTATTGTGGTCGTAGTGGTGTGGTTAGTGGACAGGTGCTAATAGTGTTTAACAGGATTTGATGGCACATGCCCATAATCCCAGTATTGCAATAATTCAAGGCCAGCCTGGTCTACAAAGAAAGTTCCATGCCAGCTAGGGCTACATAGGAAGAGTCTATCTAAAGCAAACTTTAAGAAAAGGAAAAGATAAAAAGAAAGAAAAAGGACTTGATTCTTCAACAGTTTAATCTTCATATTAATGCTTATGTAAGGTTTATGGAAATTATATGGAAACTTTTGTAGGTTAGGCATTAGAGTAATATTGTATCCATACTTTTGGATTTAGACCTTAGCACATATGCTCTGGGCAACCAAGGGCACCTGCAATGGATACAGAATTAAGTAATTGTATTTCCTTTAAGAAATTACAACACACATTGTGTTGTTTCCTGTTGTATGCTTAAAATGTTATCATTTTCTGATGAGGTCTTATCAATTTAGAGAGGTAATATGAATTACTTATGATCATGTAGCTAATCAGGTGACAGAATATATGGAATTGGTCTCACATTTAATTTGATATTTACTTGCTAATTATTCATAATTACCCAAAACTCTCTATTAAATATGACATTGTTTTAAGAAAAATGTAAAGCCAGACATGGTGGCACATGCCTTTAATCCCAGTATTCGGGAGGGAGGCAAAGGCAGGTGTATCTCTGTGAATTCAAGGCCAGACTGGTCTACATAGTGAGTTCCAGGCAGCTGGCGCTAAAGGGAGACCCTGTCTCAAAAAAGACAAAAAAAAAAAAAAGTAAAGAAAAATGTAGCTCCAAGGCCACTGAGATGACTTAGTGTGTAAAAACACTTGTCACAAATCCTGATGACTGGAGTTCAATCCCTGGAACCCACATGGTGGAAGAAGTGAACTCACTCCTGAAAGTCTGACTTTCAAATATGCTTTTTGGCATGTGTTCCCTACAAATAAATAAGTAAAAAAATAAGTAAATGTAATAAAAACATAGTTTCACCAAAGTGGAATCGATGTGTGTATTGTATACCTATTTAAGGCCATAGGTGTTATGAAATGACCAAGAGTGACTGTAATGTTAATGGCTGGGTTTTGGTTTGTACTGTTTGAAAGTTAGAGTTCTTGGTGATAGGTTGCTTTCATAATATGTGTGGAAAGTATAAAATCTGTCAAGAACATTTTCTTAATTTTTCTTTTGATAAAGTCTTGTAATGTTCAGTTTTTAGTAAAGAGCCGATGCTAAAATTAGGATGCCTTTGAAATATATTTTACAATAATTAGGTCTTTTAATAGAAGCTTTGTTTTTATTTCTCTCTCTCTCTCTCTCTCGCCACTTGACTACAGATGCCTGCAGTGTTCATAACAGGGTATTGGATCCTTGGATCTGGAATTATAGGTGGCTGTTCGCCACCCAATATGGGAACTGAACTCAGGTCCTCTGGAAGAGCAGCAAGAGCCATCTCTCTGGCTCCCAGAAATAGATTTTCTTGATAAATGCTGTGATGGCTAATCCTGGGTGTCAACTTGACTGGATCTGGGATTAACTGAAATGAGAGAGATCTTCTTGATTGGATCATCTGAAGCTGGAAGACACACCCTAAATGTGGACCTCTGATGGCAGCCTGTATAAAAGGCCATGGCAGAGGAGCATGCCAGGCTTCTTGCTGCTTGCCTTCTCTCACTGATGAGTTCATCTTGCTGCTGTAGACTGAAGACCAGCTGATCTTTTGGAATTTGTCAGACCTTGAGCACCAGATTGGACTACTGAGACATCCAGCCTTGTGGACTGAGCAGCTACGGATTCTCAGCCTCTCCAGTGTGGTGCAGCCATTGTTGGACTACTTGGACTCTATCCTGTGAGCTAAGCTGATAAATCTCTGTACATATATATCAATTCCACTGGTTCTGTTTCTTTGGAGAACCCTGACTAATACAAATGTGTTGGCAATTCTTAGAAACTCAGATTCAGGAAATTTATCCTTTGGCAAACACCAGGTAAAGATCCTTAAAATCATTAACAGCATGATCTTTGAAAACTAAAAGGGCTTATTTAAAATGCAAGCTTATTAGCAGTGAGTACATTAATGTCACAGTGAAATATTATTTTCTAATGAGAATCTGTTTGAGGTGTGTGTAAGTCAGCTTTTGTTTGGCTATACTTACCAGTTCCCAAATCTAGTGATAACCTGTTCGCTTATTTCTTGTTTCTGTAGCATGTCTATCAGAGGCTGGTGTGTAACACATCCTTGCACTATTGTTCTTTCTTGTGGGGACAAGGAGAAAGGAAAGCCATGGAGGAACTGCAGTGATGTTAAAGTTCCTGCTTGGAGTATTATGGGCATGCCACTTAGGTTTGCTTCTGATTGTCTTAAGCACGTCACCTGGTCAAGCCTGGAATAGAGGTGGTGGAATTACATTTCTTTCTAAGGAGGATTTTGCTCCAAAGGGAATTCATAAGGAACACAAGTGAATACTTTGAACTAATAATGCAATCTGCTACAGGTACTGTTGCAAGTCCTAGATATGGACTCTGTTCAAGATAAATATTATGTTTATTTACATTTTTTCTTGTTTTGTGTATTTCAAATAATAGATCTTAATCAATTTAGACTCCCCTACCCTATCCTTGCCTCCCCATAGTGCCCCCTTCTGAATTTCATGCATTCTGTCATTCATGCTAAATCCTATCTGGTCAAGCACCTGTACCCAAATGTTCCTCATTGCTAGTTCTTCCACTGGAGTCTAGTCAGCCTACCTAGAGTCACTCCCTTAAAGAAGATCTACTCTCCTTCACATTGAAGTAATCAATTATAAATAGTTCCTCAGGTAGGGTTGGGGCCTGCTGTCCATTTCCCTAGTTCTGTGCTTGGTTTTTGTCTGATTGAGTCAGCATGGGTCTTGAACATGCTGTCACCATTGTTGCAAGTTCATACGAGCAAGGTCCCAGGGGCCCGAAATCCTCTGTTTCCTTATGTTCACTCACCAACCCTGGCTCCTACAATCTTTCCACCCCTCTTTTCTGCAATGGTCCCTGAACCATGGGTGGGTGAGGTTTAATATAGGAGTCGTATCCAGGGACTCGAAGTCTGCAGTCTCTTATTTTCTAAAATTTAGCCAGTTGTGACTTTCCATGTGCATCACGCTCTGTTGTGTGAGGAAGCTTTGCTTGGGTCTCTAAAATTTTATCTCATAATTAGGAATTTTCATTTTGCGGTGTTTTGTTTTTGGCTGGAACTCTAGATTTTGTTGCTGTTGGATCAAAAGTTTCTCTGTATTATTTCTGTCAATAAATTGTAGTCAGGATTTTGGCTTTAAGCAGTAGAATCCCACGTGAACCTTGTGTGACTACAATGGAAGGGAATGTGGAATGCAGAGGGATGCCAGAGATGCTTCACACAGAAGCACTGTGCACCTAAGGGGCTGAAACAGTAACCAGGAGTTCCTGACGCCCTCCTGCGCTTTCTGTTCTCTTTTTTTTCCCTATACATGTGTTTTCCTCTTTACATAAAGGCATCTTTGTGTATTTCCATATACTTACTACTTAGAGTGAGCCCCATAGTTTGTGAGGGACTTACCTCTTGCTACTTCAAAACACATCAAAGACTGAACTATCTTTCCTGAATCCCAATTTTGAGTTCTCAGAGTAGAGAAGTACCAGCTGGTGGAGACTTCATGGACTGAAATTCTGTGGATAGAAGTGTGAGGAGAAATTCCAAACAAGGGGACTAGAGAAGCCAAAATATGTCTGCTACCCAGTACTTAGGCTTCTTAATTCAGCAAAAGGAGCTGCAAAATGAATTTTTAGTTCTAATAGTAATAAAATCCTCAATTCTCATGAAGAGTAGATTTTTAAAGTTCTTAGGTCCTCCCCCTATCCTCCAAGTGTTGGGAAATCGAAGCACTTTGATAATGTTTTAAGATAACTATAATCTGTCGGTTTTGAAGCTGTTAAATTGTTAAAGAAAAAAAGTGCTGGGCATTCTCAAGTTTTTATACACTCTGTTTCTGCCTTACCCCAGAGACAGTGTTAGGTCAGTGCTCCAACTACACAGCTAGCCACCTCCTGTAAGATCCAAGCCTGCTGTAAATTGTGTTTCTCTGCACTGGGGGAGGGGAGAAATCCTCACTATTGTCTAGAAAAGCATTTTGATTGTTCTCAGACTTTAAAATACAGATTGTCTATAAATTTCAGTGTACCTTTTTGTTCTATAAGTTTAGCTGTGTTCCCAGAAAATCAGAGCTCCTGAAAGAAGCACAAGGACTATTTCTTTAGCGTTTGAGAGAAAAACAACAGAGCAGGCAAGCTATAAATCTTGGCAGCTGCTGGGAGGAGGGGGGCAGAGAGAGGAAGAGCCATAGTCATAGATGGAAAAGGAAATTATTCAGTTTAGAGTCCAAGATAGCAGGCAGGTTCAGCAGTGGAGGTCTGCAAGCAGGGGCAAGAGGGGGATTCAGAGAAAGAGTGAGAATGTCTGGAGTGTCGAGGTAAACAGCATCAAGATTCTGGCCAGTAGCCAAAGAAGAGCTAGCAAGAGGGAAGGAAAAATTGTATTCTTTAATTGGAATCCAGACAGGCAGACAACATCGTCTTCTTCTTCTTCTTTGTCTTCTTCTGTACTGCACCCCTCCCTCCCTCCATCCCTCCCTCCGTCTCTCCCTCCCCCCTCCTTTCCTCCCTCCATCTTCCTCTCTTTCTTTTTGATCATATTAAAAAATGCTCAAAAAAAAAAAATACTGAAATTGAATGTGAATGAGCACAAAGGTTGAGAGGGCTTTGCAGTCACCTGTTGGTATAACTTTACCTGTTGTCAGGACAAAACACCATCAGCGGCTTGCATACAAAATGTCTTTAGCATCTATACTGATGCACGTTTTCTGCCCATGCTTTTCCACTTTGATTCTAGTTCTATCTACAGGAAAACTCTTTAGACTCAACAGCAGGTGGCAGTGTTAGCAAAGGTTGTGTTTTTGGTCTCTGACCAGCTTGAAAAGGAATCTCTTTCAAACCTAGACGAGTAATACAGTTAGTGAAGAATATTTAAATAAAGATAGATATACATTTATCACAAATCAATTTCGTTTTTAGAATGATTGTAGAAGTTGATATTAAAAGATAAATGCATCTTAAAATGATGGTTTAGAGGATGGACATTGTTATAATTGTGGCTCAAATAACAGAGAATAAACCTGTTATTTTTACCCCTTTGCCCATTAATAACCAGAAAAAAATGCACTGAATTACAAATATTAGGCAGTTTATAAACAGTTTAAAAATTTATAAGAGAAATGTTATAGCAACATCACTTATTTCTATTGATGGAAGGTAGTTGTTTTGAGCTTTTGTGACAAAGTTTAGTAAAGCGGTTTTTAAAACAAAACTCTGGATCAACTGGGTAACGATTTTTAAAAAGCTTAAATTGCTCTTGACATTTATTGAGGTAACTAAAAATACTCATTTTAGTCATAATTTGTTGACTAGACCACAATTCTGTTATAATTCTCTTTTTTTTCCATTTTAAAGAAACCCTAGATAAGAAAGGAAAATTTGTTTTCATTGAGGTTTTTATTTTATTTTTCACTCTTTTGTGTCATTTTACTAGAAGCAATAAAGATTTTAAGAATGAAATCAAATCTATTTTGTATTGTTAAGACTTAGGAGTACTTCAGTAACTCACATGTGACTTACTTATTATTCATGTTCCTATGTCCATGTAAGATTTAGACAGCAAATTGCTTGATTTCTGCTATTAATAGAGAGCAGGTTAATGATTTCTGTTATTAATGTACTAATTTAGCTTATTAAAAACTCAGAAAAATTAAAATTATAATAGAATTGAGAGGTTGTGTTGTTTAATGGTATCATTACTCAAATGAAGAAACTGAGGTCTATGAGACATTGTGTTAAAGGAAAAACTTACAGGTATAGAAAGACCATGCTTATAATTAAGTCTTTATTATTTACATTATATATGACTTGATATCAAGCTGCATCTGGAATAACTTGGTTGCAAATTGTCATTTCATTTACTTTTATTTACTTAAATAAAAGCTGTTCACTAGGACTTGTATTTCTTTTACTTTTATTTACTTAAATAAAAGCTGTTCACTAGGACTTGTATTTCTTTTTAGGAAGAGAATAATGGAGGGCTGAGGATGTAGCTCAATTGGTAAAGTGCTTGCATAGCACATAGGAAGCCCTGGGTTTCACCCCCAGCATCACATAACCCAGGTTAGGTGGCACATGTCTGTAATGTGAGCATTTGGAAGGCAGAGGCTGTTGAATCAGAAGTTGAAACCCATACTTGGCTTCATTGTGAGTTTCAGGCCAGTCTGGGATGCATAAGACTTTGTTGCAAAAAAGAAAAGAAAAGAAAGGAAGGAAGGAAGGAAGGAAGGAATCAGTTCTCACCCTTACTCTATCAGTACCAGAAAGAAAGAAAGAAAGAAAGAAAGAAAGAAAGAAAAAGAAAGAAAGGAAGCTACATTAAATACTCTATGTTCACCAAGAGGCATGCATTTTAGCTATTTCTTTAATTACCTGGCTGACCTGACACTCAAT